TATTTTCAATAAGCAATCCTGAAAAATATGTGGGGGTGCTTAACTTTTTTCCAGGTGTATAGTTAAGCACAAACCTACACAATGGGAAATCTGTGCTGTGCCCACCACGGGTATCGAAACCAGATTTTTAGTGTTATAAGTCCACAGACACGCTGCTGAGCCACTGTGGGGTGGGGGTGGGGGCGTTACAGTGAGAACCAATATGTTATGGAATCAAGGGAAAAAAACAAAACAAAAGTGAAATGAACGTAAAATAAGCAGTTTAATAATCAACTTATATGACTTTAATTTTCACTTTTATCTGTTCAACCGTTTATCTCAAGATATCAAATTAATTTCAGAATGTTTATCAGTTTATAATGAGTTGTCATTTCAGACCAAAAACGTAATTAAAATCTGGAGATATCATAAGCCAATTAAAATGTATGAGAGGAGACCAAAGTGTGTGTGTATGTGTTATACTCCCTCCCTCTTCAAATGTCTATGTAACACAAAGAAATTTTTGTTCTTATAATGCGAACTTACTTACTGAGCCCTTTAGATCTGCGATGGATGTGGTAAAATAACAATATCCTATTAGTAGAGATCTAGTCATCACTTTAACCTAACGTAACCTATTTTCTTACCTGACTGTCAAGACCGAGAGTCAACAGCATAATGAAGAACAAGAATGCCCACAGAGGAGCTATAGGAAGTCTTGCCACCACTTCAGGATAAACAATAAAAGCTAATCCGGCACCTTGATCTACCACGTGCTCTACTTCCACATTCAACTCATGGGCCAGGTAGCCAATCACAGAAAAGATAACAAAGCCAGCAAAAATACTTGTTAGCACATTCGACAAAGAAACTATTATTGCGTCCCTATAAAAAAAAGGAAGAAAAAATACAAAAAATATATAAATCATATATTTAGGGCATAAGCTTTAATTTAAAGTGTAATCATATATATAAATTTCTCTCGTTCGAAATTATTGCGTCTCTATAAAAAAAAGAAGAAAAAAATATAAAAATATATACATCATATATTTAGGGCATAAGCTCTAATTTAAAGTGTAATCATATATATAAATTTCTCTCGTTCTAAATTATTGCGTCTCTGTAAAAAAGAAAATAAGAAAAAAAAATATGTAAATCAGATATTTAGGGCATAAACTCTAATTTAAAGTGTAATCCTATATATATAAATTTCTCTCGTTCGAAGTGGTCGAAAACTTTAAAAAATATTAAACATATGATGGATGAATTTGAATTCTACAGCACTCTGATATATATTTTAAACCTCATAAGCCTATATGGAATAAGTACAAAGTCGCTTTCACATGTGAAACATCTTAGTTGAGACAGTTGCATGATTAAATTTTACCGTGGCATACATGTAACGGGATGGCCACAAAAACTTGACGTTTCCAGATTTCTCCGGGGTCTGTGATCACACCAATATGTGGAATACGTTAAAAATTAAGGTTAGGTTTGTTAATATATATAATAAATAACGTTATCAACTGCCTTTGAATACACTATAATTTCTAATTACGTCTGTAATACTCCCCAAATTAAGAAAAGGGTTAAACTTATTGAAATTTTATGTCTGAAGCCATACTAATCTGTCATTCCTTTTCATCACTAATAGAGGGCATAGCAGTAGCTTGTATATTATAAAAATATAAATAAACGGTGAAAATCTCTGTAGAGTAAAATTAATTATACGGTTAGAATTTCGGTAAAACGACTTTTCTTTCGTTTCATTGTAGTTTATTTGATTGAAAGGTTGTCTCCATGTCCCCTCTATAGCGATTTTAGCCACATTTCTTGTATTTACATACTAACAAACTGTAGCATTTCTCATAAATTGTTCAGTTTTGTTTTATATTGATTTACTTAGTTAAGTGGATATTTTTGTATTTTGCTTACGCAAAGTCAAATGGTAAAAGATTATAATTCCATTAATTATCAAACGTCAAATACAGTTACTATCATTAACATCACCTTTGGAAGGGAGGAATATCACATTTAGTGAACCACATTCCATTAGTTCCTGAACAGAGGAAACATAGATCTGCTTTCTTTATCCAAACAACACTAAACCTTAAAGTTGCTAAGCCTTCTGACGATATGCTTCTTACGCATGACCTTTACCACGATCTAGGAAATAAGGTCAAGAGCGATATCCAGGAAAGATAAAGGAAACTTTCTTGTATGGTAAACAATCAATAAAGAGTATGGAAAAAGAGGATGGGGAAGAGATCAAGATGAGTATAGGAGTAAAACTAAACTACAAATGAAGACACACACAAACGTGATATACATAAAGAAAGAACAACAATGGAAAGAACATAAGTAAACAGGAAAACAATATACCTGAGTTTGTTTTTTAATCACGAAATGTTAGTTAAATGTTTGATAAATAATAGTTTATCTTTGATCGTTGTCCAGAAAAATCTAATGATAAAATATAACCAATTACTTGATATTACAGTGACCTTATGCTATCTTATAACTTGAATAACAACATTTAGATGAATATAGGACCCTGTCTTACTTGTAGCAGTTATTGTGGAACGGATTGTAGGAAGACAGAGTTATAAGACCGCCCCACGCTGGGCTAAGGGCAAAGAATATCTGAACAGCAGCATCGCCCCACACCTGAAAAAAAAATTCATTACTTTAATTTCAAGTGATTTTATTGATTTGCAACAATCTAGGATTCATACTTCGTAATAATCAAGACTAAAAAAAAGCAAATAATCGTCATCTTTGTTCTGCCTGTTAAAACAGTCGAAATTTTCTTAGCCCACGACAACATTGTTATTTTGTTTATAGATTTTCCAAAAGGATCCGTATTCTGTATCTAGGCTAAAGTCATAAAAGAATGACAGTTTTGCTTCAGTGAAAAAGGCAAGATATAGGAAGTAAAATTTGGTTTGTTTTGAATTTCGCGCAAAGCTACACGGGGGCTATCTGCGCTAGCCGTCCCTAATTTAGCAGTGAAAAACTAGAGGGAAGGCAGCTAGTCATCACCACTCACTGTCAACTCTTGGGCTACTCTTTTACCAACGAATAGTGTGATTTACCGTCACATTATAACGCCCCCATGGCTGAAAGGGCAAGAACCCGTGATCCGCAGGTTGCGAGTCGAGCACACTAACCACCTGGCCATGCTGGACCTGTAAAGAATAGGTGTTCCACCTCACAAGTCAGTATAATAACTTTTGTTCGATTCGCTGTTAAGCTAGCTACACAATGGGCTATTTGTGCCCTGCCCACCCTGAATATTGAAACCCGGTTTTTAGCGTTGTAAATTAGCAGACTTACTGCCAAGCTACTAAAAGAAGAGGCAACATAAGAGAAATATTTGGGTTATTTTGTGTATTTTACTTCTCTTTTGTTTTGAAGTTATATTTACACAAATAATATGGATCAGTGTTTGTTCTGCTGTAAACAAAAGTCCCATTTAGTTGATTTGCTGGTTTTCAGTGAAATCTTATTTTTTTTTTCAAAAACAATATATATGGTTTCTTATCAGCTCACCGAATAACCTCTGAAGAACTAATTAAGCACAGAAAATATAGACAAAAGTAATCAGAAATCGTTAGATCAGATGCAGTACAGCAATTCCTATCTTTCTAAGACTACGTAAAGGTGGATCGTAGTGTAACGTTTTTTTCCAATACAACATATTCGCAGTGTTTAAAGTCCGCTTATAATAAGTGGAAGTAGGTTTATTTTTTTAAGACGCTTTAATTTTCTGAGAGTCACGGGTTATGTTTTTTTTTTGTTTATTTTATTCTGAGGTCGCTTATTTCGGCTTTTTCGTAAAGTCAACTAATCAATACACAGCAAAATGGTTGTAGGAATGGTCTCGTTAATTTAGGTGGGCATTAAATAGCCTACACATCATTACAAATTTAGAATCATTCTATCCCCACTTCTGTTCAATTAAGAAGACACTCACAATTAAAAATACACCTACAATTAAAAACACGCCCACGACTAAAAAACACACCTACAATTAAAAACACACCCACAATCGTGAACTTTCTGGCCCGACCACTGGACACATTCTATATTCCAATTAAGTCGAGCAAATCGTCATTTTGGGGGTAATCCATGAAAGAGTAGTTTTGAAAGATAGTGCCGCTTGTTTTAGGCGGCAATGCCGCTTATTTTTCTTGCGAGACTTGGCACCACTGCTTCCTCGACGTAGATGATAAAAACTTTTACCAGCATACTGCGTACAATAGTATCGAGTTTCGGGAAGTTCGTTTATTTTTAGTTCAAACACGTCGTAGATCCTCACTTATTTATTGAGATGAATTTAATTTGATACAATTAAACACTAGGTACTAAGTTTTCATCATTAGGTGATATATGATAAAAAACGTATAGTTTAAGCCAGATCAAAAAGCCTGAATATCTACTCAATGTAACACTGTTTGTACAACTCTTAAGTTTCCAAGAACTGTTTTAAAGCCCCAAACTTTTGTATTAAATTTAAAAGTGGTTCATAGTATAAACACCATTTACAACACATAATCAAAACTTTTCGAATAATAAGTTCAGGATTTGATGTTTTTTCGATTATTATCATTTGATCATTTTGTGCTTTAAATTAATAAAAATAACATTGGTTTTTATACTTTCAAGAAATTAATCGGACTATTTCATGTCCCCCCGATGGTTTTGTTTTATTGTTGTTTTTGGAATTAAGCACAAAGCTACACAATGGGCTATCTGTGCTCTGCCCACCACGGGTTTCGAAACTCGGTTTCTAGCGTTGTAAGTCCGCAGACATACCGCTGTGCTACTGCCCCCCCCCGATGGAGGAACAATGTGCTAAGTCTAGTCTAATGATGCTAACTTAATGTGCTAAGTCTAGTATCACGATGCTAATTTTGTCATTTGAATGTTTGTTTGTTTCGGAATTTCGCGCAAAGCTACATGAGGGCTATCTGCGCTAGCCGTCCCTAATTTAGCAGTGTAAGACTAGA